GTAGACAGTCGGAAAGTCATCGTGCTAAGACCCGCTAAGGCCAGCACTCCAGAACAGCAACCACCGCCAATGAAAAATAACGTAGATCAGGATGATCCAAACCGAAGACATACAACATAGACGAACAATGACGAGATCCAAACAAATCCATCAAAGATAGATCTGCCGAAGACACACCTCCACACGCCCCGAAACGGGGGCTAGGCAGAGAGACCTTTATTACATCTTCAGGGAGCCGCCGCCGTCTCGCCTTCCTGAGCAGGACACAAACCCTAACAAGATTAAAAAACGACTAAAAACGAAGCCCTCCCGTTGGCCCTTGCCAAGATCCACCACGCCTCCATGGCCCTAGGGCCACCGAGACGAGGTGGACCTGCGTCGGCGCCGACGAGAGGCACGAATCCTAACTTTCTTTCTTGGAGGAGGAAGAGGCGGCTGCTGGCGTTAGTTGCTTCAAAGAAAATGGTGATGTAAAAATTATTAGTCTGCCCGTAATGGCTAGCATCATAAGTTAACTGTTGCTTTAACAGATGACTAGTAATTGTGTGCGTGCATGCATGTCCAGTATGATAGTAATATTTTTCCCCCAAGATTAACTGCGATTAATGTTGATTTCAATACTAATTGTCTGTAACGCAATTAACATGTGCCAAATTATTGATGATGTGATGGATACAACATTGGAGCAGCGTGAGACGTTGGATATAGGTGGTTGGATGGCCAAGATCATATGGATTGATTAAACTCATGCTTTACAATTATTAGTATTAGTATATACCCCAATTTTAACTAAGATCTTCAAAACTGTGACGGTTACCCTAGAAACGATACTGAAATTTTGAACTCTAGTTGAACACTAAACATTTCAAACAACATAATTATATATTACTATGATAGGCCGACACTACTACCGACATACTATTACAGTAGATCATCACAAACCATGAAACCTACAAAACATGATTCATCGTCATCGTCGTCGAGGTTGATTGCCCCTGGTGGGCCTCCGAACAGGCATGCCTTATGCTGATTGAATATAAACGACTTTACCTCCTCCTTGTCGTCATCCAAGCCCTCTATGTTTGATTCGGTCGCCCAGTGGCCAGAGTCGATAGATCGGCGGCCAAATCGGGCAGCCTCGACCAGAATCAACATGGATTTGGACGACGATGGGACGGCGGCGTAGAGGGTGACAACGGGGATGCGATGGGGATCTTGGTGGAGATGTGGCTAGGGTTAGCCAGTGTGGCGAATGCGGCGTGGGGCGGCCGAAATCGATGGCAGGGCCGGCCGGAGACGAAACGGCTACGCACGTGAAAACTATTGTAGGTCCACGATTGCGGGTTTGCGCACTCGGCTGTATTTTTGCGGCAGCCGCTCGGGTGCTGCGAATGTGTAGCCGCAGAAGGCAGTTTTTTCGGCTGCCCAAACAAATTATATCACCATATACATATACATCGTCTGTTGGAGAAACGCTTTTGCTCGAGTGCCCTAAACAGCTATTTTTTTATCATCTGTTGAAAATGCTCTTACCACGTGCAGTGATGGTGCTCCATGTGAGAGTGCTCTATGGTGTGTGTATGCATTGTGATGCCCTTCGACGCCCACTGGTTGCATACAGGCGTCGTCTCGGTCTCGCATGACCATTCACCCACGACATAGGTGGTGTTGGCGTTAAGTGTGGTCTCGGATGCACATTGCCTTTTGATTACGGTGTCGCGGGTTGGGCCTTGGCTGACCAATGTCGTTCGATTACTCCGGCGATGCCTCGAGTTGGGTTCTCTCTTGCGTTGTCATGTCCTGCTGACTCATTTGTGTTCACTGTGATTTGGTCGTGATGGGTTTTCTCATTTGATCTCTAAGGGTTCTCAGACTGACCTCGTGAACTCTGGTTAACATATCTTATCTCTACATGATAAGATGGGTTTTCTCATTTGATCTTTCAGGGTTCTTGGAGTGGCCTTGTTTTTTTCTCCCCTCTTGTAGCCCTTATGAACTCTGGTTAACCTATCTTGGAGTATCTACAGCCGAACGCCCCAAACCCACCTCAAACGTCCGGGCGTACGACACGGTTACTGACCAGTCATGAAATTTCGACCCAGACGGATGCCTCAGATGCCCGGGCTGACCGGCACCACTCATATCCAGCCCAAGTATGGGGCTGATATGGGGGCGCCCGGACGCGTCCGCCACGTCCAACCCGACATACCTACCCCATAGCAGATTGCACCAAATCCACCCCCTCGACCTACCAGATCCATTTGCTCTCTCCTCTCTTCTTTCTCCTCCACGACGTTTGTCTCGTAGCTCCATCGCTGCACACGCTCCATATTCGTTCCAAGCCTCTGCACTGGGAGCAACGGCACAACACTCTTGTCTCCTGTCGTCGCCGCTAGGGACGTCGTTGCCTGCCCGGACGCCACCGCGGTACGTCCGGCAACTCCCGAGCTCCCCCTTGCACTATGTGTTCGACACATTGTCCGACCTAGTTTTTTGTGATTTTTTGGGGAAAATGATGAATTCCAATGCTTCGTCGCACAAGGCGTATGGACCGACGGAGCTTGATCAAGTGATTCAAGATGAGTTCTTCGATTCCTTGGATTCTGACAAAGAAGTGGGTATGATCATGCCCATGAGCATGCAAGAGGAAAATGGACCAGCAAGTGGAGCATATTCTCAATTTCAAGGGCTCAATCAAAGGGAGAAGAGTGGTCAATCGGGATAGGGTGTCTAGAGCACGACTACTACAGAAGGACTACTTTGCTCCAAACCCAACTTTCTCGGATGATCCATGGTTTCGTCGCCGTCTTCGCATGTGAAAACCATTGTTTTTGTGCATTGCGGAGGGAGTGGAGGCACGCGATGACTACTTCAAGCTCACAAGGGATTCCTACGGCCAACTTTCTTTCTCTGCTAAGCAGAAGTGCACAGCTACTCTGAGGATACTTGCACTTGGTACTGCTGCAAATGTCGTTGGTGAGATGGTCAGGATGGGGGAGAGCACATGCCTGAAGGCTGCCAAGTTTGCCCGCACCTTGGTGCAGGTGTTTGGAGTAGAGTATCTGAGAGAACCAAATCCGTAGGACACAGAGAAGTTGTTAGCTATTGAAGAGGCTAGAGGGTTTCCAGGAATGCTCTGATCAATCAATTGCATGCATTGGCAATGGAAGAAATGTCTCAAAGGTTTGCGGGGAATGTATGAATGTCACACCAAAGAGGCCACCATCATACTAGAAGCCATGGCATCACATGACTTATGAATTTGGCATGCTTTGTTAGAATGCCGGGTTCTCACAATGACATCAACGTGCTACAACGATCTCCGGTGCTCAGAAGGCTCTGCAATGGGGAATCACCGCCGTGCAACTACACTGGCAACAATCGTGACTATAACATGAGATACTATCTTGCCGATGGTAACTATCCTCGGTGGACCGCGTTTGTGAAGACCATATCCGAACCACAGGGCAACAAACAAAGCCACCTCGTAACAATGCAGGATGCAGTTAGGAAGGATGTGGAGAGGGCATTCGGAGTGCTTCAAACTCGTTGGGGAATTGTTCGTCGGGCTGCAATGTTGTGGGAATTAGAAACTTTGTGTCAGCTCATGACATATTGTGTTACTTTGCAGAATATGATTGTCGAGGATGAAGGTGATGGTGTTTCCCAAACCAATGATTTTGAAGCGCCCGGAGAACAAGTTCAATCCTGAAAGATCAAGATGCAGCTCGGCTTGTGAACTTTCTGCAGATGCATCAGAATTTTGGAGATCATCACATGCATGTACAGTTACTTAGTGATCTTATGGAGCATATGTGGACCCATAATAGAAACCAAAGAGCTGATGTTTGAGTTGTGCACTTAAAATAAATTTTATGAAAACACTATTTCTTTTCGGTACCAACATTTGTTATTTACGTGTGATATTTATCTTTGATACCAACATTTGTTATTTACATGCAATATTGACGTGTATGTCGATTGTATGAATTTGCGAGTCCAGATTTGAGATATATGGATGATACCTGACACAAAATATGAGGGACCAGCGTGCACTGTCCGTGGACATATAGGGAGCGGATTTGCCAAGTCCCTCTTATCTTGTAGAGGTTGTGAAGCCTTGTAGGCAACTACTCCCCCATGACCATTAAAAAAAAGTAATTACCCTTGCAGAGCCAAACAGACCTTCTTTGGTTTGGAAGAATTTCATAAGAATTTTAGAGGATTAGGATTTTTTCCTTTAGAGCCATTTGGTTCATAGCAATAGATTCCTATTCTTACATAGGATTGGTTCCTATCCTTCACATTTCATAGGAAAATAAAAATAAGCCTAGACTCAATGGAAAAATTCTTTTAGTGTCAACCAAATGACATCTCGTTTCCTATTCCTACTCATAGGATTTGAGATACATGCCATCTCATTTCCTACAAAATTCCTCTTCCTATGATAATCCTATCGTATGAACCAAAAGAGGCCTTAATCGGCATTTTGCCAGCTACTAGTCCACATATAATTGAGTTGAATTATTGTCCATCAGAGCCAGCCATTTAAGCAGCATTAAGCCAGTTAGACAAGTTACATTATTGCTGTTTGCTGATGACCCATTTAAGCAGCATTAAGCCAGTTAGACAAGTTGCATTATTGCTGATGCTCATCACACACACACTGGCGTTGACCATCAAACGGTATCGTTCACAGTTATCATCCAAGACGAGCAACAAGACAACATATCTCAAAACATACAATATCTTGAATAGGTTCAGCTAGGACTCCCCAAATTCAATATCGTGAGGAGGAACAACCCAACAAGAGCAAATACTAACAAAGCTTAGTAGCTAGATAAAATGCTAATGACACTTCCTCTTTACAATGACCTGATGCCAGAATCATACATTCCTGGGCATGCAGCACGGGGTAATTGTACAATAGTCTTCAGTGAAGCCGATGAACTTCAGACCAAATATCATACATGCCATGAATCTACCCTATCTTGATCCAATTAGTTGGTGACAAAATGGTACCTGGAGTCCACATAGCTCTCAACGTCCCAGAGGAAGGATCCGAAAGTGACAGCCTCTAAGATGAGCCTTCTCAACCCGGAGAAGCTTATCCTGACATACTCATCCTTGGAAGAATCGACTGTTCCTTCCGGGGTGATCACGATCTCCGGCTTCCCGAATAGCGCCTCCGTGTGCTTCTCGATGATGCCAAACGCCACCTTCGACCGAATTGTCGCGTAAGTTTGCAACGTGTCTGAATCAAATGACATGACGTACGATCGAAGACGGGAAGGCTTGACAGACTGGCCGAGACCTCCTGCGCTGAGGTCTGGGGAAGTCCACGACTCCACCTCTGGATGGGAACTGTAAGTCTGATCCGAGAGCCGTGAGTCAGTCGTCATAACTTGATTGAGCGCATCGTCTTCTGATCCCCAAGGGAGGCTCTTCATCGACTTCTCCAGCTGAAACCTCTTGTCAACTCTCTTGAGGAAGTAGCCATACATTACTGATGCGGCATAGACCTGGCCAACTCGGAGCTTACTTATGGCCGCGACAGTGCCATCGGCTTGCCGCTGCCCCAATATGAGATTCAAGTGGTTCTCGATCATTTCATATGCTTCATGTGAGTGCAAACGCTCAAGCTTCCCTTCCACATGCTCTGCCCACTGATCTACTCTACCAGAAGAGGTATCGATGGAGTGAGAGAGAGCTGGGACCAAAGAGACGCCAGCTTCAACAAACTTCTGAACAACCAGCGCGTACAGTATCTCCTCCATGGTCCTTTTCCTTTCCTTCTCCTTAACCTCGGCAATTCGCCTATAAAACAATAGAGTTAAAAATTAGCAAGATTTCATTAACTGACAGGGACTTTTTGGAATTAACCAGATATTGAACTTCCGGTGAGCAGTTTTACAAATTGGACTTGTATTTCCTACAATTCAAACCATGAGTTGTATATCCTTTTTTATATAGGAAATTCTGACCGACGAAACAATTCTAAAATGAATGTGACTGCTCTATCCTAATCAATCAGACATACAGACTAGAAGAAAATTGACTTTTTTTCTCCCTACAGAAAACGCAGCCGGCACTTCAATCAAAGGTTAAACATTTCGTGACAGCTCTATCTGTTATGTAAACTTGTGAATTTTTTACCCATGTCGGCAACGGCACACAAAAAAGATTTATCTGTGCTTGGAGGCAAGCATGCCAGCTGGTCAAGCTAGCTTGATGATGGTTCTACAATTGGCTTGCCCCCTTCTTAAGATTATTTACCAAAAATCCAAACTTCTTACAGCCGGATGCATCGGAAATAACAAGTCACCATTCCAAACATCATTTACCTGTACAGCACGATATCGCCGGCTGCCGGCGGTGCCTGCGCGTCCTTCTTTTCTGCAGAGTCTTGGACGGTCTGGAGCTGCTCGAGCTGCTGCTCGGCGGCGGCCGGGAGCAGGTGCGGGTGCGTGACCAAAATCTGCGAGAGGAACTGCCCTACCGGCGACTCCATTTGCAGCGGGGCGATCGGCGAAGAAGATGGCAGAGACTCCGACGGGGACGAGGAGGATGCCCTGACCACGCTGCGTAGCCTCCTGGAAGTGAGCTGCCGCCGCCCGAGGCCCTGAGGATAGCGTCCAGACAAGGAAGCGCGTCAGCCATCAAGTCACCATTACCAAACCATTTCTATGCTCAGACTACTTGAACCTCCAAGCGCCCAACTGAGAACGCATAGAACTGGGGGAAGTGGTAATTTTTATTTTTATTTTTTGCAGTAGAACACACATAGATCTGGTTTATTTTAGGCGATAGGCCATTTGATGCAGCGAAATTGCAGAATAATCAGAGCAATAATGAACAATCTTTGCGTTAAACTATGGCAGGCAGCTGGGATTTTACGGAAACCAAGAAATGGATAAGAACACCGTAAAAGGATAAGCCCAAGATTATACTACGACGCCATCACGGAGGGAGCACCAACAACAGGTGAGAACTCAAAGCTCATCTGTCCTTACCTTGATGGAGCCGAGGGCGAAGCTGCGGCTCCGCTCGAAGGGGAGCGAGCTGGCGGCGGCGGCCCGGCGCGAGGGCGCGGCGGCCCGGCGCGAGGGCGCGGCGGCGGGCGACCTGAGAGCCACGGCTGCTGCTGCTGCGGCCTCCATCGCTCAACAAGCACGAACGAATTCGCTCGGGTTCGGGGGGTTGGGACGGCGGGATTGGGGATCTGCCCGGCGGTGGTTGGAGACGTGAGACGGGGGGCTGATTGATTCGGTTCGGCGGCGAGGATGGGGATGAGAGGTTCTGGAGACTGGGAGTCCGTATATATACGCCGGGGGTGGGGGTGGGGGTGGTCGGTCAGAGCACGCGGCCGGGACGAGACGGCAGCGCCGCAGGCGTGTTCCTCTCTCTCGTGCTAGTTTAACAGAAAAAATGCAAATTTTTTATGGTCCTGCTGCGCTTGCCTCTATTTTATTTCGCCTTTTTTGGGCCTTCAATATTTTTCTCGTGTTTTGACGTGTGAGGCAGGGGGCTTGAGGGGTCTAGAAGGAAGGTTTTGAAGCGTGAGCCGGACGTAAGAGGATGGTTGAAAATTATAGGTTTTTTTAGGGGAGAATTGAAAATTACTGATTTGTTTACGTGAGATTGAAAACTACAGATGATGGGCGCATTTGGGCGCACGGTAAGAGACACTTTTTTTTCGGGTGCACGGTAAGAGACGCTGACCGGTCAAGACTTGAATTTTTCTACTCACAACCGAACATCTCAGTTAGTACCTCAAATTCATACAAACTCACTACGTAAACAATGCATTATCATGTCATCGGACTCCCAAATTTTGGCATGTTTGGCTATGATGAAAAAGATCATCCACAGCTGCACCTAACCTTTCCGGCGCCATTGCCATCCTTCTCGCGAAAGTACATGTCGAAGACGCGGTAGGGATCGAGCCGGATCCGCTCGTCGCCAGAGCTGTCTGCCCCGTCGTTGTCCTCCTTCTCCTCCTTGGGTGGCAGTCCGGCCATGACACGGACCGCCCGATTCTGCTCTCGGTCGAGGAAGCGCGTGTTTCTCCGTTGCCGCCTTTTTTACAATGCAGGCACGGATGACTTCCTCCTTTGCGACCACCCGCGCAGCAGCATCAGCCGCCTCCGTCGCCGCCATGTCGGCAGCGAGGCGGGCCTCCACTGCCCTTTCCTTCCCACGACGGGCACACCGGTCCAGGTGGGACTCATACTCCACCGGACCGATGATGGGGAACGAGAAATTTGAAGGCTCCCAGGACCGCGATGATCCAGCCCCGGAAAATCCGAGCGCCTGATGCGCCGACGATATGGAGTCGCGTCGGACAGATCCTGCCGTCGGCCGGGCACTGTCCTCCCAGGAGTGGCGGGGTGCAATGCGGATGGCCATGGCCTCCAACAACCCACATGGGACGACACCCCAGTCGATGGCCCGGAATGGTCGGAGTCAGATCCGCTAACCCGCCATGCCAGAGAAGGCCGGAGATCGTCGGACGGGAGTTTGGGTGGCGGATGGGAGTGGGGTGAAGTGGCTAGGGTTTGGTCCAGCGAGCGAATGAGGAGGAATATATGTAGGGTTGGGTGGGCCAGCGACAGCCCAGACCGACGTGGAAGATGTGTCCGGACGCCCCTATATCAGCCTCATATTTGGACTGGATATGAGGGGTGTCGGTTAGCCTCGGCGTTCGAGGTCCGTCTGGGTGCATTTCCGTGACCGGTAGGTGACTACCCGTCCGCCCGGACGTTTGAGGAGCGTTTGGGGCGCCCTGCTATAGATGCTCTAAGGGGTACAATCTTTTTAACATATTATGATGATCACATATCGCACATACATTCATCCCACGCACATCCTACCTCTATAATAACCCTCGAGATATTGAGCCGGTACAATATCATGAGATTGACGAAGTCATCACAAACGGCTCGTAGTTGACGGTAACTTCTTCTTGCACTAAACGAACATCACCGAAAAACCTAAAATAAATTCAGAAAAATATGAGCACCAGTGTCAAATCTAAGACTTGAACACTGATGGGCTGGTTTATTCTCTCCATCTTCGTTTAGATCATCTTCTATCGGACCCCTTACTTCGGATCATATTTCGGTGAACATTCCGCACACCGCTAGAATAAATAAAAGCTAGCCAACCGAACTTTTTGAATCCAGTTCATTGATTCGGTATGTTTTGCATTTCTCATACCCAACTCATATTTGGAGGGCAAATTTAGGGTCGTCGAGACGTTTTCGTGTTGGATCCAACAGGCTGGACCCACCCTAAATCCCTTCAAATTCACAAAATCCACCAAATCAACTGCTTTCTCCTGCCTTTGTCCTCTATTTTCCGTGTTTGTGTCGGCGCCACCTTCGCTCTTGCTCCGCCTCTGCGCCGCCGACCTCCTCCTCCGTCCTAGTTGTCGATGCCGGCTCCGTCGTTCGCCAACACCGTGGAGGATGGCTCGGTGGAGTTTGTAGGGATCCTTACCATCATGAACAAGGCGGAGATCGTCGCCCGCAGGGAGCGATGCACCCGATAGCACGCCTCATGAGACATCCCAAATGACAACCGAGCTCGACGTCGTTCCAGTTTCGCAATGGTCGGCATCCCGAACGGCTTCACGCCGGAAGCGGACGATTCACCGCACTCGAACAATCGCGGACAAAGTTGAGAATCTCCGGCGCCAGACATGTCCACTAACCGTCTAAGGAAAGTCTAAAACAAAATATGCAAGCCCTTTCTTGTTGTGCATTTATCGGATCAAACTTAGGATGGTAGTTGCATTGTGATGTATATGTAGAGCTTATTCATGGTGGATCTGATAAACGACGGTCAAGAAACTCCAACTTATAAGATGGGTGATACTAATTCCCCTTTCGATATTGGGCAATCATCGAACACTCACAAAAATAAGTTGAAGGCAAGAGGACACGCATACTCAACCCCTAAAGATGCGTTGTTGTGTAAAGTTTGGTTGGCCACAAGCATGAATCATATTTGTGAAACCGAGCAAAAGGACTCCAAGTCTTCGCTAACAGGTAGTCCACAACGCATGAAGATACTGCGCAAGAAAAATGTATTTGCGAATTGAAACACTTTTCTGGTGTTTGGCAGAGTTTGAACTGTATGATTGAGCTGAAATTTTGTGGTATTGCAGCCACACCAATTCCACACGGTCTGATCTATGCGACCGTCGAAAACCTGTCGTAGTCTGCCTTTCTCCTTCTTCTTTCGAGCTCGCGCAGATTCCCGCCTATATCTGACAGTGCCTTCCCTTTTCGAACCTAGCCAGAGATCCCGCCGTCAGATCGCAATGAAATCACAAGGTCGTAACAGAAAAAATTTCTCACAGCCCCTTCAAAAGGATTAGCGGAATGATTCTCAAAGAGGCGAGAGCAATGTGAACAATTTAGTCGTTCATGTTGTTCTGCACATGGCCACTGGAGGGCGACCTAGAGGTCGAGCCCTCGAGCTCCTTGGAATTTCGATGATCTCTGAGCAAAATCAAAGTAGAAGTTGATGAAGACTCTAAGGAAACTCCGTCGTCTGGTAGAAAGTCGCGTTCGCGGAGTTGCAAAGCGTTGAGTTTGTCGGCGTTGAAGATCAGAAGCCATCTATCATGGTTTCGACACATGCAACCCCTACCTGGTGCACCAACTTTCATTGTAATTTTCCGACAACACCGATCTGAGGATAGCTGACGCGTTAGAGATCCGGATGATGCAAACAAGGAAAATTAACCAGGTTCGGACCCTCGGATCGAGGTAATACCGTACTTCCAACTTGTCTCACTAATTATCTTGCTTCGTATGAGAACTAGGGTTTCGTGTTTATAAGGGGTCGATCACACAATTGTCTTGGGGGCAAAGCCTCATATGTCTCCTAGAATCAGGTGTCTATCGGTGGGGGTGGTCCTTGTCGAGCCTTATATAGATGGGTTGGATAGGATTACAAGTTCCAAGTCAGCCGAGGAGCTGGCCTAATAAACTAGTATATGTTGTATCCCGGCGATCTATAGTCTAATCTAGAGAGGAGTCTTCGTCTTGCCACCCAAGGTGATGATGCACTCTGTATTGTCAGCGGACATCGAGTTGTGGGCCTGGAGCGCCCTATTATCGTTGGGCCTTGTCCTCCGCAGCTATGCCCAGGGCCCAGGGGCATGGCGCCTTCATCTAGATCCAAATCTTTGGTAAAAATAGAGCTATATCTGAAAATGCAAAATGATAGCTTTCTTTTGCCGTGGTTTCACTCCAGAAGATTGTTTTTGGAAAAAAAAATTGGAGCATCGCCTTTATTTTGTTTTGCCTAGACGTCCACGGATGTAATTCAGTCATGAATTTTTGTACACATGTGAAAACACTCGTCGATGTTTGTTGACAAAAAAAAATAGATTTTATTGAATGTTTTTATTATTTTTTTCTCCTAATTTTACTGTTCATCCGGATGCATGTGAGCTCGGATCAGAAGAACACTTTCGCTTGTTATCTTGGTACACTATATTTGTTCCACGGTAATCGTTCGTTTTGCTCTTCCCCCGTGCCAAAATTCTGGCTCCGTCCCTGAAACCATCCTTATAAACACCACAAAAATCAGATTCCTCTCAACCAAACAAACTCCCCAAAATAGGCACATTTATCTCGTACCACATTGACGTAACCTGTTATAAACAACTAAACACTGCACCCACTCTCCAGCACAGAAATACTCCACACAAATAGTCATACATGTCCGGCACACGTCTAACGGGGTCGTGGGCTGCCGTCCACCTCTCCGGGGTCTACACTACACGGACAAGGACGCCGGCCCGGAGACTTGTTGGCAGCTCCACCGGCGGCCACCACGCCCGCCCCCACCGCACGTCTCCGCTTGTGGCGCAGGCGAGAGATCCACACTCGCCCGGAAAACTCTCCACGCTTCGCCGTCGGAAACTGACAAGCGCGAGCTCCTCACCGCCGCAGGAAAAAGATCTCTGTTTTCCTGGCCTCGTGTCTCCCTGAGGCTCTGAAACGAAACCAGAGAGAGCAGGAGAGGGAGACGTGGGCAGTGGGCTCGCTCGCCTGGATATTCCTGACAGCAGGCTCGATCGACAACAGGCCAACAGCCAAGTTGAAGTAGAGAGAGATCCCGGTGCCGGGAAGGCGCAGTT